GACGGAGCACTGGAACAGGCTGCCCAGAGAGGTGGTGGAGTCTCCTTCTCTGGAGATATTGAAAACCTGCCTGTACGAGGTCCTGTGCAGCCTGCTGTAGGTGACCCTGCTTCGGCAGGGGGGTTGGACTAGATGAGCCACAGAGATCCCTTCTAATCCCTAACATTCTGTGATTCTGTGAACTCAGCAGCTGGAGATGGGATTTTTTCATCCTGCAGGGAAAGCACTCACCCTGCTGCCCTCCTAGCGCACTGGGCCAGGTGCTTTGCCCTGCCAGGTGACAATGCCTTTTCATCTTGTTTCAGGCCAGCAAAGATGCTGCTGTAGGTGACTGACTTGCTCATGCCTCATGTGCTATGGCTCTACATGGCCTCTGCAGGACCAGAACGTGCTAATCTGGGCCCCAAACAGGAGAAGAGCATTGGGCTTGAGTCAGGAACCCTTCCAGCAGGAAGAGCTCGGCCACGCCGGGCCTGGCACCACGCTCAGCAGCAGGCGAAACCCATCTGGAATTTAGAGAAGAAGTATGTGAGTGCTTTCCAGGATCGCAGCCTGCTGCCCTCAGGGATCCCTCTGCAGCAATCCTGCTTCTTGTGCCCACCGTCACTATGCCACACACAGCCTGGTGAAGACGCCCTCCCAAGCCTGCCCTTAGCCCAGCGCCGCCTCAGACCCCAGCCTGACGGATTTCCTTTCCGAAGCCCTCTGGACACTGGCTCTACCACGGGAAGGATGATGTCTTCCTTGCTGGTGGAGCCCTGCTTGCTGCCTGCGCTGATGGAGGAGCACTCTGGGACTGGGGTCAAGGGCTCTGCCCTCAGCTCAGGCCAGCAGGCTTCGAGCTCCTATAGACCAGTGCTCAATAACAACTCCTTCCTATGGCCAAGCAGTGCTAAAGTGCCTTTGCTGCAGTCACTGGAGATCAAGAAGGTGAAAAACACCCATGGCTTCCCCACTACCTCGCAGCCCTGCTCCGGAGAAAATGGGGACAGCTTGCCTGGCAGCCTGGTCAACGGAGCAGTGAAAAGTGGTGACCCTCTGTTGGAGCAAACCGCAGTCCCCTCCCTGACCCTCGTTCCCAGCAGTGCGGTCCTCAGGAAGGACCGGTGCTCGCAGGAGGATGCTAGGAGGAGAGCGCACAGCTTAAAAGAGAAGAAGCTGGAGAGCAGCCTCACGGTGGCTGTGCAGCAGCTAGCCGGACAGACTGCCACACGCAATGGCTTTGGACGCGAAGTCGAAAGCTCTGGCCTTACGAACGTGGGCAGCCTGTCCAACTGGAACAGCAGGTGGGGACAGCTCACCCGGCAAGAAACCGTTGCTCCTCTGAACCTGGAGCTGGATAGCCATCCCCTTAACAGTGACTCGAGCCTTACAGGCACCGACGGTGCCGTCGTCTGCACTGAGCGTAACAGCGTACATCTCTTGCACTCGCGTGCTGGCTCTCCCGACCGCAGCACTGACTGCTGGCTGGTGAGCATGCCGAGCCCACGCGGCGGGGAGCGGGTGGCGAGAGCAGAGCCTCCACACCTTGCTGCCATCTCCGAAGTGGCAACTCAGATGTCCACCATCCAGCTGGAGAAAGAGGACAAATGGTCCATGGCTGTGCTCCCAGGAAAGCTCGAGTAAGCAGAGCCAGGAGGAGGAGGGAGGCCATGGTGGGCTGGGGTGGCTGTTGCATCTGTGCGTGTTGGGAGAAGATGCACTGTGGGCACTACAAGGGTGGCCGTAAGGATAATCATAGGGTGCATCCCTGAGAAAAACTCGTTTGCAGCATCCTGATGTGGGGAGAGCCTTCCTGCTGCCCCCAGCTTGATGCAGGCACTCAAGTGGCTCTGAGCCCTTCCACCTTCCTTCAGCCACAGCGTGGAATTGCTGTGTGGTGTTTCTAGTTCACTCCCTGCACAGTCACAGGGCCCTGCCTGCTGTGGCAGGGTCTGCGCATGTGTTGAGTGAAGCTTGCCATCGAGCCAGGTCCAGCAGGGCTTTCCTAGGCAGAGACATGGGTTCCTAAAGGATAGGGAGGGTGCAAGCACGTGAGGCTCCTGCTCTCCTGCTGGGAGAGGGTGTCTTTGTGCCTCTTTCTTTCTGACTGCTGTGGAAAATGTTCCATGTCAGGGTGCTCTGGGGCCTCTCCGTATTGCTAGCTTGGGGTGAGTGCTCGTACATCAGCACTGGGGAAGGCAGTGCTGTCACTCCCCTACCCATGCTATCTCATGCTGCCTTGTGGGTTTCTGGGTCTTTTGACCCTGGAAAGCGCATGCCACTCCTTCTGATGTGATGTCCTTTGTCCCAGTGTCACTGCTGAGCACTCGCCACTGGACCCGAGCCATCCCCAGGATGAAGCGGAAGAAGAACTTCCCGATGGCCTGGACGAGAGCTGCAGTCAGGAGGAGGACGACGAGGACAGTGAGTGCTGGTTCCCTGAGGAGGGCTGTGTTCTGTGCCTTGAGGTGGGGAGTGTGGGGGGCCGTCTGGGAGCTGGGGGTGAGCACAGC